TCGTGGTCGAATGCTTTGAATTTATTTGAGATTGTCATGATTAGCATATAAATTCTTGAGGAACAGAAAATAAAAATGTTATAAGGTCACAGTGACCTTTGACCTTTTTGACAACCAACATCTAATCGGTTCATCCTTCAGTGGAAGTGGATGTTTTTGTGGCAAATAAGAAAGAAAACTTGAATGCTTTCCTGTGATATTGGGTTCTTGAGAATGGGACAAATGGATGTAAAGAATGAGAAAGTGATTGACAACACAACGCTGACGCGAGGCATTATAACAATTAACATCGATTCTGACTTCACTGCAGGACAGCTGTTGACATTAGACTTCAGTTCATATGATTTATGTTTTGTTTATCAAGCTAAAAACATATCAATATAACTATATAATGGACATTTTAAAAAGGAATATGCATGCATAGTAGGTTATACAGTACACTTACTAATTCTGACAAACATGGATTGTCTTTGTCAAAAATAAACTCACCTAAAAACTTCTGTGGTGTTGACCTCTTGCGTTTGGTGATGCTGATAGCCAGTCTATCCACAAACTGGACTTTTTCATTGGATGGCTGGAGCAGAGCTTTAGTAATTGTCTCCATATTTACTGACTCTTCACCTTAAAACAGAAAACACATAGTCATCAATATACCAAATAACTCATGTGCATAAATATGTTTCTTTCTTTATTCAATCTATTTGCATTTACAACAATGCAGAAACGTATACGTTTGTTGGTGAGTTTCATGATTGCTTGATATGTTACCCTGTGCTGTCTGTGCGCCGACTGCTGTCTGGTGCTCCAAACTCTTCAGATAACTATGGCAGCGCTCTAGATGTTCATCCAGTGTGGTCTGTTGTTTGTAGCTGCGACTACAATAGCTGCACTTGAAAGGTTTGCCCACGGTTGGAGAAGAGGCTGCAATTCAGAAAATTCAGAAAATATATTAAATCAAATCTGCGGGTAGCTCAGCGGTCCATATGTGGTCTCCACTGCCAAGTATGCGGGTTCAACTCACTATCATAGAACGTCTTTCCATCGGTCTTCCCCCTCCGCCTTTATCTATCAATGAAGGCACTATCTGGCCCAACAAAAAAACCTTAGACGAAGGAAACTGTTGATCAAACCTAAACCCAGAGTGGTGATGTTTATTATTGTGTTTGTTGGAGGGGATTTTTGCAAAATATAACTTATTTATGGCTAGGTATGACAAAATGGATTTCCCCGTTGATTGGCAATTCCTGAAATCGTTTTATATTGCTCGCCACTGATGACAGAAAACGCCTCACCCTTTACCGCAACGTTTCCTCTCCGAAAGCCGTCGAAAAGGCTGACGTCAATTCGCTGAAATCCAGTTTGCAAGAATCTTTTCTTCGAAAATGAACCTGAGACCCGAGGAAATCCACCAAACAAGACCTACTGTAACTGGAGGGTGTCAACACCTGTTGAATGTGTGTTCCAAAATCTATAGAGCCAACAGGATTTCCTGTTTTCAAAAACTTTTTAAATGTCATATTTAGTCATGTGTTTTACAGTACATTCTGGTGAAGATGACTTCCTATTTTCTTCACAGAAGGGGGCCGTTCTAATGAATCCCCACTGTTACACACTTTATAGCCTTCATCATAATACAAGTAATAATAATGTTATGGGACAACTGCATCCATCAGGTTCACTAAATAATTAGGTACATGAAAAAGCTCTTCATGCTTTTGATGATAGTTCCTGTTGTCTGGCACTTAAAGCTCACTTTACCTGCATGTGTGCGCAGATGTCCAGCCAGGGCGTCTCTCCGGCGACAAGCGTAGTTGCAGACGTGACATTTAAAGGGCTTCTCTCCTGAATGCAACTTGATGTGGCGCAACAAGTTCCCTTTCTGGGTGAAGGAAGCTCCACACTGGTTACACTGGAACGGCCTCTCACCTATGAACACATGGATAAATGGACAGAGGATTTAATGACATTGAAGGTAGTATTCTGTCTCTAAAATGTACTTGTTGGCTTGTCCTCACCTGTGTGGCTACGCTTGTGCACCATCAGCACGTTGGGTCCAATGCAGATCATCCCGCACACCTCGCACTGGAGCTTCCCATTGGGGAGCCGGATAGGTCCTGGTGAAGAAGTATTTGGACTGGCCATGTCATTGTAAATGCTTCCTCCGTCTTTTCCAGCCCTAGCGTACTCTGTGCTCCCTTCCTCCATGGGGTCCCCTCTGTCATCCCTCCTGATATCGACCCTCACAGCCTCTCTGTTCTCCGGCTGTGGAGCACCTGGTGACTCATCATCGCTGCACAGCTCGACCTTGATGGAGTTTTCTGAGTAGAGAGGGTAAGGGGAAAAAAACTCTGACTTAAAATATTCATTTCATACAGACTATGGGGCCACAATGAAAACCGGGGTTTAATAACTGACCACTAAGGGAGCGGTGTGGTGAGGACTGCTGACTGTTTGGAGATCTTACTGAAGGGCCCTGCGACCCGCTATAAAAATCCTGTTCCGTAGATGATTCTCCTCCATTACCTGAAACACAATAATGCCCATGTTATTAAGGGAAACATTGAAGCCTAGAGACTGTACCCCAATATACAAAGTTACTTCTTTACATATAAATGTACCTGGTGCATATGAGCGTCCATTGCAGTCATCAGCATTCATTCTCCCCAGATGCCTACAAAAATAGGATACAAAAATCTAAATGTTACTATTTTCAAATTGTTGTTGAATTAATTTCTTAAATGTTAATCACATGAAAATAGCATATATCAACTTGGCTGCTTACCAAAAAAAATATCCTTACCAGCTCTTTGCTACAAAGATATAGCTCTTTGTTTTCAGATCTAAGTGTCTTAATTCACTGTTATATATTAATTAAGTAAACTTCTGCCCTTATGTATCATGTAGATTCTTCCACGCCGTGGCCAGCAAATGAATATGAGAAGTCTCACATTTATACAGACTTAAAGTTTTAGAGGAGGAGTTAAAACTCCAGGGTTGGACAAAATAGCTGGAACATCTTAAACCTCATTGACTCAAGGAGGGAAAATAAGCAATAGAGCAGAACAAGATGACAGAGATTGAAAGAATACGGATGGATAAGAACATTACTTTATGGCTACAATAAACAGATTTTTGGAAATCCATGTTAGAAAGCTATAAATAGTATGTTCCTTAACCAGTGTTCATAAATGTATTTGCAAAAACAGCATATGTACTGTATGATATATTCCGTAATTATATAGCTTCACAAACCTTCTCATTTTTTTTTTGTTGAGAATACAGGTTATATATATTTTTTGTAGTTCCTTAGTTCTACTGTTCCTGTTATTTTGTCCACCCCCTCTGCATACTTGTAATTGGATAATAATTATTCATTTGGGTTTTTAATTCTAGGTTACATAGTGCAGTTACCTCAAGTGGTATGCAACACATTTTCAACACTGGCGGTGTAGAGTAACAAGGTTTCCAGAGAACATGTTGATTTTTTGTGACCACAGTTATGGCGAAGCTTGGTTTATTTTCATGATGGAAAAAAAATGGACAGAAAAATAACACAGATGCTGCACCTTTTGCTCAAATGGATGACAACAACAATGGACAGAGGAGACTGTGAAGCGGGAAGGGGGGGCGGAGACAACGGATCGCAGGGAAAATGAATATTCTGGCATTGGCCGCGCATGGGGAGCAACAGGCGCTGATGCAGCCCGGAGACGCGCCAGTCACACCAGGGCACGGCGATTAAAAAAATAAAGGGGGGGGGACGGGACGCGCACCAGCGACAACCCTTGTCTGACAGTCCTTTCAGGGCGACTGTGCTATAAAACATACTGCCTTACATGTTCAAATAACTATCATGCCTCTTCTTCTGCCATAAGCGTGGCTACTTGTTGTAGCTGCTCGGTGGATGTGCTCCTTTAATGTATGACACCAATCAGCTCATAGACGGTCGAGACAGCGGCTAGACAACACGACAATTTGTTGCAGGAGTTGCCCCGGTCCAAATTGTCCGCATGAAGGCGGCTGTCATCCACCATCGAGCACGTCAAACCGGCCAGGGCTATACAATGTTTCTCATGAGCCGTTGCTATGGCACCCGACCACACGACAAATGGCATTCACCCAACCAACTATTCAAAAACATGCCGCACTTCCACATCAAAACCGACGGATGGTCTTACCGAGCGCCGCGGTGAAGTCCACAAGCCTTCACCTTACCTGGCGACCGATCGGTGTTTTCCTTTTTTAATTGTCTGGATGGCTTTTTGTTTTCCCAGGCGACGACAGCATCTCCGGGATTTTTTTTTTTTTTTACCTGGGAATCCCAAACAACTTCCGGGCCCATGCTGGGATACAGACCGAATAATTGTACAACAGAGCTCTTGATTCAGTGATCGCCGAATGCATCGATGCATGTCAGCTTCGTGTACAGGTGCTAAAAATGTGATGTTATGTTTGCCATGACAATAACTAATAGGCAGACTTATTTTGGCTGATGAGCATACATTTTTGTTTGGATAAAGACACACTGGCTGCACAGAGGCCAGTTTACCTGCTACATGTTATCAAGTTATTCAAAGCAAATGCAGACAGTTTATCATCAAGGCCTCTTCCGGAAATGCAAGAGGATGGAGTAGGTTTTTTTTTTTTACAAGTTAGTTCCCTTTTTTGGCGTCTGTCTTTGAACTATAATAACATGAACATAACTGAATTTTTTTTTTTTATTGAAATGCTCTAAAATTGCAGGATATCTAGGCAACTTGGTGTTAGGGAAGCATGTAATATCAAGAAAGCACACAGTGAAACAAGTACAATTCTTGTGATGAAATAGTTTATGGTGACATTACACCTGTAACAACACAAGGTGGCAGCAAAGTGCTGCTTGAGACTAAATATGCCAAGTACTCTGTGAAATGCTGTGTAAGTCTTTTTTTTGATTGATGTTCAATACAGAATATAAAAAATGACTGAAAATCATTGTCATCAAGAGTCTCACTTTATTCAGGGAAACTATTTGAATCTCTGAGGTTTGTGCCGTCGTAGAAGGATCTCATAAGCCTCATTGATCTTCACAAACATGGCCTCAGCATCCTTGCTGGGGTTATGGTCTGGATGCCATGTCTTGGCGAGTTCCCTATAGCTGCGTGTTATGTCTTCTAGGGAGGCCTCTATTTCCAATGACAAGACCTGCAACACAAATATATCCACATACACAGTTTTGAGATTATGACAAAGCCAGATGAGTTGCTTTACATGCTAAAAATGCTCAGACTGATGCACAGTATACACCTTAAGGCATATATGTCACCTAGCCTTTTCAGAGGTATGTGTTTACTCACTCGCAGAGCCTCTTTTTCTTTCTCAGTGTACTCTTTTAAAAGTATTTCCAACATCCTCCTCCAAGCGTCTTCATAGTAACCCCCTCCAGTAATTACACACAAGAGCCGATATGGCATTAAAAGAATGTACTCAAACACATTTCGGAGCCAAGGCAGGAACCAGAATATATCCAGCAGTGCTGCTACACAGTCAGATAGGTAGTACAGTGTGGCTGTGGTGTTATGGAAAATACAGTAACCCAGCGGAGCAGAGAAGGCCAGCCAGGCCAGACCAAGCCTGTAAATCCGTGGTCCTATAAGACAGAAGAACATTTAATTATAGTGAATCTTCAAGGTTTGGTGAGGGACAGTGGAAGTATAAGTAGAACTGATGGTGTTGTCTTGTGAGGTGTTCTCACCTAGTTTCTGTGAGCTCCCTGGTGGCGGTGGAGGTCTGTGCCTGCGGTGCGATGCAGCAGTAACACTGGCAGCCAGGCTTATAGGGAGGGGGGATAAGCTGCTGCCATAGAATATTGGGGAGGTTATGAGACAAGTAGTCAACGTTTTCCTGAGATCCGAAGTCTGCTGGCCGATACATGACACCAGATGTACCCCTGCACCCACACATAAAGGCAGGACAATCAAGTAGAAGAAGCTGAAGGAGTTCAGTCCAATCAGAGCCACGGTGCCAAAATAGATCCCAACAAACACCTGTCCAACAAATCTGACAGGGCTCACAGGTGGGAGGACCATAGTGGGACGTGTTTTTCTGTCTTTTTCTGCCTCTTGATTGGCCTCGCCAACATATGCAGGAATACGTATGAACTCTCTGACCCAGCCAAACCCGAATCCTCCCAGGGTGAGCATCCATAACAGAGCATGGCTGTCTCTTCCTAAATATACATGGTGAAGGCCCAAAGGCCCACCCATTGCCCAAAGGACATAGGCTACCATGACACTTTTTGCCATTCTGTGGCTTTGGTGGATCACTTCCTGTACAGTTCAATATAAGTCCTCCTTCATGAGTACCTGCAAAAAAAAAGAAGAAGGAAATAGTTAAGTCTTCATTTATGGCATTTTTTACATCTCAAAACCACATCATAGAAAACCCACCATAACAATCCCTGAACACCAGACAAAAGAAAGACATGTAATAAAATAGTGTATATATGAGTTCTGACTAATACTATAATCGAAAATAAAAAACAAATAGACATAACCAATTAACTAAGGTGAATCAAAACACAGTACATACAAGGTTAAGTACATTTGTCACATTACTTCTCCGATTCTCTGTTATGCTGCGTTGCCTGCTGATAGTTATTTTACATTATGTATGCATTTGACCTCTTTCACAAGTCA